AATCTATCTTTTGTTATCCATTGTTATTTTAATCCAGAAAGTAAATTTGTTGTGAAATTAAGCTTAACTGGAAGGTGCCCCTTTAAGCATGGAAATACCCAAAATATTTGTGCGTTTGCCCAATGCACGTGATGTTTTGACATCATTACAACTATGAGGTTTGCTTGTCATGTTTTTATGCTTTATTTCACATATAACGCAGGAACTCGAGTGAAAAGAAAATTGTCTATTAAGAGAAGCATTATCATAACATAACAAACATACTAAAACAAATGAAGAGTTCATCTCAGACTAAGTGCCCTTATACAAGTGCCCTTGCTGATTTGCAAAGCATGTAAAATGAAAGTTTTGCATTTTTGAAAATGACGATAATCAAACCAATTCCAAATGTCTATTGCATGACTGTGATGCCACAGGTTAGAAATTGACGAAAGCACAGATCTTAAACGCACTTTAAAGAACAAATATATTGAAGACACATACCCTTACATTATGTTAGTCGATTACAAAGGAAATAGGCAATACATACCACAATTTTCTTCATCCAGTCCATTAGAACAATCAGCTTTTCCATCACATTGGTAGTTTATATTGATACATTCATCACCACAGTCAAATTGTAGATCAGAACAATCTGAAAACAACAAACCATGAATGGCATAGTCCCTGTTAGTTATCAACTTTAGGATATATAGTTTTGTTTATAGTAATATAGTTGGAACATAAACATGTCAGAGATGCTTGATTATGATGATTTTTAACATTAAAATGGTTGACATTCAGTCATCTTGTATCTAATCATCAAAAGAGTACTTGTCCATATTGAGAAATATCACTCTGGAACAGCAATAATTAAAAACAAAATGGCCATTATGAATACATCTGTATATCTATGACATGATGTATAATGAATATATAAAATTTGAACATAATCAGTCAAAGCATGTCATATATATGGCTCTAGAACAGCATAATAATTAAAACAAAATGGCCACAAGTCGGCCATTTTGAAATTCTATCTAAAAAAACTAAAAAGACGTGCATAAAGGTCCCATGATGTCCAATGTATGGACCAAGTTTGAAAAAAATCTATTTGTAAACAGTCGAGATCTAGTTCCTGAATGCCAGAAATGCTTGATTTCAGTACAAAAACGACCGACATTCAAATCAGATCATGAAACAAATTGATATGCATATGTATAATACCAGAGGTACATTACTTGGAGTTTGCAACGCGCATAGTACTGTATGGTAACATCATGTCAAGATCCCATTCAAGTCTCATCTCGTAGATAGCGAGACTGATGCTACGACCTTCTGACATGACATAGGCGGTTTGTAATAAAACAATAAAACATGTATTACCACATTCATAGTGAAAAAATGTAATACATCGAAAATGTACAGTAAATATAGTTATTGAACCCGTCATATCGTGAGCAGCTATTTTGATCCACCTGGACATCTCAGTATTCTAGTTACCTCAGCATGCACATTCGCATTTTTCTGAGTTGGAACGCTTATGCGAGAGCGAGATTGAAACGGGATCTTGGTATCATGTCACCGTAGTTGCAAACCCCAAGTAATGTACCTCTGATAATACGTATGTATGATGCATGTGTGAAGTTTGAATGTAATTGGTCCAGGCATGTCTAAGATATAGGACGCATGCACAGAGGTCCATAAGTCCCCGTCCAAATTAAAAGATTGGGAAAATATAAACATTCCTAGCTGTCAATAACAAGGATTGCACCAGGGAAACCTGTGAGACCATTGTTTATGTTGTTTACACCATTATTCTGTCTTTTGCTTCTATTGTAAGTCTAATCTCGTAAGTAAATTTACTTTTAGGTTGAACATCACAAGAAGTAGAGGCGTTTCATATTGACTGTTCTGTTTGAAGAATCTACAACACTAATCTGACAAATGCTGACCCAGCATTTCTTGTACAACTATAATCTTCAACAAAGAATTTATTGTCTCTGTTTTATCACTTTATTTACATTTTTTCTGTTCAAATAGAAATGTATTTTCTTTATTCAGCTATACTAATTTAATGTTTATCTCATCTTAAAAAACTATCAGTTTAGAGGATTATTTTACAAACATTAAAAATATCAAACTCTAGGAAATAATTTGTAATTATCGTCTAAGTAACCATTCACTGAGAATTAAAACAGGGTGTCATACTCAGTTACCAGCAAATGAAAGGGTATGTTTTTCGGTAACACAAATCTATGCTATCTATCTATCTATCTATGCTCTGTCTCTGCCCAGCACAGAAACATATCATTCATGGAAGCAAGGAAAATATCCTAAAATTTCAAAAAAAATTAACCATGACGACAAATTCAGATTTATCATGAGCAATAAATCCCTGTCAATTCCTTCAGGCCAATAATTGTGAATCTGTTTTGAATCTAGATTTGACATTTTTCTCTGTAAGTGTATTTACTTTGTAATGTCATTTTTCATGTTTTTTTGTGTGTATTGTATCCAATATCATCAATTCTAATGGATGTTAATTGATGAGATAAATATTTATAGTGTAGGGAAGGTAGGTTATAAGAGGAAACTTACCACAGCCCATTTCATCAGTATTGTCACCGCAGTCATTTATACCATTACATACATGAACATCATACACAGTATGTCCATTTTGACAGGTAAATGGATCTGTAAACGAGAAAATTGGTCATGAAAATATAACACTTTTCAGTTAAACAAATGACATATTGAATATACTGGTATATTTAAGTTTTATACAACCATAAATTGCACTGTTGCACTGTTATACACAGTAATGTAATTATTTGCACTTACCACAGAATGCTTCATCTTCACCGAGCGGACAATCAATAACATTATCACAAAGACTATCCCAATTAACACAAGGTCCATCTGCGCACTGGAATTGTATGGTTGGATGGCATGCTAAAAAGTAGTGAAATGAAACAGCAGATGAAATTCATTATTCATTAAGTGCTTGGCACATTTATATATTACCAATTTTACAAATGTCTCTGAATTTAACACTGAATGTACTGTCTCATGATATCATAATAGGTGATTTTCTGTTCACTGCCAATTTCTTGTATAATACATGAAAAATGCAGTTTGCTGCAAAAATTAAGTTACTGTCGAATATTCTTTATTTTCGCTTGGAATTAGTTTTCGCTATTTTCGCAGAAGGAATGATTCAGTGAAGATAAAATCCATTGAAACATACCTTTTTCCCTATATTTTACATTCAACTTGTCAAAAATCAGTGAAAATAAATTACATACAAAAATGTCTTTTCAGCTAAAATAAAGTATTTTACAGTATTTGATTTTGAGCTTGATTTTCTCGTTTTCATGCTTTAATGTAGAAATGCCCATTTTTCATTAAGGAATATTGCATTGAGATGAACTTAATTTATCAAAATTGACCATCATCAAAGGTGTACAGCACATTATTGAGCATGGAAATATCCCAAAAATTGTTTGTCAAATCCCATGCAATGTTTTAATGCTGACGTTATGACCTGCGTTAGTCCTGTTTTTACAATTTCAAACATAACATGAAATCTCACAATGAACAGAAAATAGGATATACTGAAGTGTAATGATTATACATCACATACATGGAGGAATTGAGTTGTAAGTGATGTTAACAGCACATGGTAGAAATGCAAATGCT